AGCACAAATCATCCTGTTAATCGTCGATTGCCTCGAGCAGGCCCCAGTAACGTCTCCTTCATCCTAGCCCTGAGATTATATTCAAGGCTCTTTAGGAGAATGAGACCCATCATTGCTACTGGTATTTGGCATATTGAGTACGCCATGGGGAGTTTGCCAGACTCTGCCCTGTGGGCAGGCTACATTCGGTAGTCTGCCAGTTTGTCCAAAGTAGTAATGAGATAATAAGATGTCATAATAAGATGTCGCACGGCCGCAAATGCGGCCACGTGCTTCCGGGAGCTGTTTTTTTTTTTTTTTATATATATCGTGGTGATTCAATTAAAAAAATCAATGAATGGGTAAAAACGTTTATTGTTATGATAAATAAATATCTTCATGCTTAATAATTATGCCTATTTCACTTTGTTGGTTTGTTTTGAGTCATAATTCTACTCAGTGAATATATTGGTGCCAAATGATTATTTCTAATGATTCTTTGGGTTCTTAGTTATTTGCACTAGGTATAATAGATAGTTAATATAAATATGTCAGCTAATCTTCTGGAAGTATTTACTTTTCATTGTGGAGCTATTCTATTATGTCCCTGATTTAAATTAATTCTTTTTTCAGAATTAGTTGACTTGTTGTTTATATTGAATATGGTTACTGGACTCAAAGAATCTAAAACTTTGTGTCTGTGTGCTCAGAGGCCTTCAAAATTCATAGAAAAATGTAGCAATGAAAAAAGCAAGAGAGTAACCTAAAATTTGTATTGCTTTAACATGAAGAGGTCTTTTAAGAGATAAGAGATAACCTATTATCAGGGACAGTTTTCATTCTTTTGATTGGTACTGAGCACCAAAGGGAAATGTGACGAGAACAAGGATGATAATTGGAAATGAGAGGGTTTGAATGTTATAATATTGTGTCATTACAGATTGGAGTAATAATATAAATAATGCTAGCATTATTCTTTCACAGTTGTGATAAGATATAAATTAAACATGATCTCTAAGCATGCTTGAAATTCATTTCTGTAGGGTGTATTATCATGGGATGTGTAAAATAGGTGGTATAACATGTCATTATAAAAGCCGAAAAACATTTTATAATAGAGAAAGTGACCTCAAGTACATATGACTTTGTGTCATTTTACTAATGCTTAGACTGAAGCGATAGCACAGTGGGTAGGGCATTTGCCTTGCACGCGGCCGACCGAGGTTCGATTCCTCGCCCATCTTGGAGAGCCCGGCAATTTACCGAGAGTATCTCGCCTGAGTGGCAAAGTCTGGCAAGCTACCCGTGACGTATTTGATATGCCAAAACCAATAACAACAAGTCTCACAATTTGTTGTGAGATGTTACGGTGCCCGCTCGAGCAAATTGATGAACAATGGGAGGACAGTGCTACAGTGCTACTAAAATGCTTAATTTTCTGAGTTTAGCAAATGGGAATACTTGGATTAGCTTTTATTTTATAATAAAGGAAAATATCATACTTGGTTACTCTAAAAAAACTATTCCGCATTTGTGTAATTATGCTTGTCTCTTAGTGATAATGTCATTTTCAAAGCTTTTTTCTTCTTTAAATTTTTACTGAATGCCAATCTTTCTTGCTGGTTAAAAGAAGAAAGTAGAGGAGATTCAAATATTAGTGATATCAGAGAATTTGAGGTCTTTTCTAATCATGCTTATTGGTACATTTTGTGTAATCTCAAAACTCATTGATATGCACTAATTTAAAATGAATTTTCTGGGGCTAGAGAGAGAGTACAAATAGTAGCACACTTGCTTTGCACACGGCCACCCTGGAATTCAATCTCTGACATCCCATATTGTCTTCCAAGACCCACCAGGATTGATCCCTGATCACAGAGACAGGAGTAAATCCTAAGAACTACCAGATGGGGCCCCCAAAAAACAAAAAGGAAACATGAACTTATTTCCTTAACCACAGGTTCTTAGAGCTCTAATTACCTGGGAAGTTGCAATTGTACAGCATTTTAATAAATTGGTTAACATCCAAAGATGCTGTTGAATATTTGAAGTATTCAAGGACATTGCAGTTTCAGTTAAATAAATGTAATTGTTCATCATAACAAAAAGATGTGAATTTAGAGGAGTTTTATAATGTTGCTCTTTCATGATAATCTGGCTGTTGTGCATGAGTTTAAAATAATTCAGAAGCTTGGAAACGTGGCACAAATTAGTGTTTTAGATGTACACATGCAATTTGTAGGAATAAAATATGGTATAGTAGTTATTGGATAGAGTCTGGAATGGACTCACGTTCAAAGGGTTAGATCCTTCAAGACACTTAGCTATGTTACACTGTGCATGTTAACTGAACTGTTTGTGCTTTGGTTTTCTCAGCTATAAAATAGGGTTGGTGGTGTTCGCTACCATTTGTTTTGGAGAGATATTGTGAAGTTTATGTGTAAAGTGCTAAAATAATGCTATATAAGAATATGCTATTATGTTTACTTCTGTAGACCATTATAGGATCATTTTCAGCATCCTGAAAATACAATGTAGTAATATGTAGAAAGATTTATGAAGACATCTCTATTAAGTTTAAGCATACTGCACTGAAATATTTTTAATTATCTTTGCTTGAGGAGGAAGTTTGGGCCACCCTAGCATTACTTAGGGGCTACTACTGGCTCTGTGCTCAGGGTTACATGTGGTGCTGGGGATCTAATTGAGGTCAGGCACACACCAGGCAGGTGACCTAACCGCTGTACTATTTTTCGAACCCTGATAAATATCTTCAAGCCACAAGTATGGACTACTGTATATCCCCCCTGCCCCCCTGCCCCCTGCCCCCAAGACATATTGCTCACGTTCTTCCACACACCTTAAGAGAGCTGTATTTTGAAATATGTGCTGGGTCTTTATTGCATTGGAATCATACAGACTGCCTCTAAAATGTAGATCCTCGGGTTCCATCCTAAACCCACTCCATCAGAACTTCTCGATGTGCAAATCAGTAATTTAATACATGAATTGATCCTTAAGGCAGACAAATTTTAAAACTTTTCCCACAATTCCCTCTTGTGTAACTTGTCTTAATGCTTTCTTACTTTCTTACTCCAAGTCACCTAATGTTCAAGGAATGAACGATTTTCTTTCAAAATCACAGCAGCTTAGATCAAATTTGATGGTTTTCTAGATGGGGAGGAAGTCGCACCAGGCTGTGCTCAAGGCTTCCTCCTGGCTCTGAGCTCAGGGATCACTCCTGGTGTTGCTTCTGGGGCCTCTTGTGATGCTGGGGAAAGAGCCTTAGTTGGTATGCAAGACAAACCCCTTAACTGCTGTACTAACTCTTCAGGCCACCAAATTAATTTTTTTCTTGCTCATCCCAAGCTTTGGTTGTTATTGCTTCATTCCTTTAATCTGTATTCTTGTCAGCACTCCTAACTTATTGTGTTACTATTATGTACTATAAGTGAGGTGTAAAATAATCCTGGCTTTTAAATTCCACAAATGATTTTCAGTTGTCTCATTTAGTCTTTACTTAAACTTTCTCTTCCTTTATTTTATTTCTCATTTCCTTCCTTTCTGTCAGTGAATGTTCATTCCTGATTTAGAAGTCAGGGATAGATTTGTAGCTGCTGAAGGAGAACATTTTTTTCCCCTCCCAAATTCTTTAGTCCCATGGAAGTTTTATTTGTTAAGGAGAAGAAACAGGTGCAGAAAATCTAGTCTTCAACAATCCCCATGGGCTATGTCTGTGGGCTGTGTCTCTTAATTAGTCTCCATTTGAACTCAGTATTCTTGTTTATGGGTTCCTGGCCATAAACATGTGAGACATCATTTAGGGATCTCAGACTGCACTGTTTGAATATACTTGTTGGAGAAAATTGCATTTAAGTCTTAAAATATATCTTATATTCAGTTTTTCCTAAATAAAAAGTCAGGTGTAGCCATGTGGAAATAATACATACATGAAAATTTTATGACTTCTTGACCAAGGTAAAGATTAATACAAAGCATTTGGGCTCATAGAGCGCATAATGCAGCTCTTCTTTAAAACACATGAATTTGTTATGTTCGTGTGACTGATCACATAGATCCATTGGAATCTTAATGATCCGTGAGATAAATTGTTCACATTTTTAGAGGTACATCTACATTACAAAACAGTGCTTTCAGGAGTCCTCTGCAGTCTTGTGCTTTCAAAACTACTTGAGTTTCACAGTGTTGAAAGGAACAATATTGTGATTCATAAGCAAAACACTGTACTTAAAGGAAAACAATGAGAGTTATGGAAAAGGAGGACACAGATATGTCCCCAAATTTACTTACTTTAAAAGCAACATGGAGATATTCTAAAAACTGGTTTTAGTACTTTAGCATGTAGAATGCAAGGAACTTAAGTCCTGGAAATCTTTGTCTTCTTTGAAAGCATTAGTATTTCTTGCAATAACTAAATAGTTTTAAAAACCATTCTCAAATAAGAAATGTAGTGAAAAATCAATTTATCAGTAAGGCTTTTGCTTCCATTGTTTTATCAGTTTGAGTTTTTTCATATTTATGTGATATCAAGGAAGTAGTTGTGAAAGTTCTTTGAGGTTATCATTTCACTTGATAATTTTTTAGTTTGATTGGGCACCTTTTCATTTTATTTAAGAGAATATTTCATATTGTTGCTTAGATTTTTATTAGAATATTTTTTTGTCTGTGTGCCATGAATTGAACCCAAATTCTCACATGTCAAAGGCAAACACTCTAACACTGAACAGCATCTTTAGCTGATTTTTAACAAACTAAATTTAATAAATAAGTTTAAGTCTAATTATAGCTATGGTCATAGTATAATGCCAAAAAGGTAATGAGTAGTAAAAGAATCAAGAGAAGCTCCTGTACAATTTTTTTTTTAGCTTATTCTCTAATCACTCATTTGAGTTGGATGGCTTTTGATGTCTTAGTTGCTCACTGCCTGGAAGTCTTTGATTTCTATTTAATGAAAATATATTCGATTTTTTTAATGAACATATGTTTTTTTTCCTGTAGGAATGCCTTCTGCAGCTATAATAGTCAACCTTCTTTCAGTTTTACTCATTCCGTCTGTGTTTGGAGAAACAGAAATAAGGTTCGCTGGACAAATAGAATTTGTGGTTAATGAAACAAGTACAACAGTTATTCGACTTGTCATTGAAAGGATAGGAGAGCCAGCAAATGTCACTGCGATTGTGTCGGTAAGAAGTGGTTGTATTTCTGTTCCTACTGAAATAGAATGAAAGGGTTTCATTTCAATGACAGGTTTTTTAAATTCTTTTATTGTCTGCAATTCTAAGTGTTTTCATTATGATAAATGATTTTTAGATACAACGTTCCATTTATAGCTGTTAGAATTTTGTACAGTATTACAGGATAGTTATATTTGTTTTTGCCAATAATACACTTTAAGGATATAAACTTTTTGTTTTATAATCTATGTCTTTTGACAAAAAGAACTGTCAATAAACATTTCTAAGTACAATAATATTTTATCTTGGGTAGTTTGGATTCTAGTTATATTGGCTCAGGTATATTGTTGATTGGTGACTTAGAGAAAATAGGTCAAGTATTTAAAAGTAGAAAAATGAAAATTAAAAATCTGGAGAAGTCTCTTCCAAGTGAATTAGTGTACTAATTTAAGTAGTTCAAATTAGCTAGCTTTGTGAACTATTCTACACAGAGTTAAATCAGTTAGTGGATTGTGTATTTGTGTCTGTATTCAACCAGAAAATATTATAAGAATGCCATGGCTGATATCGAAGCTCAAATTACTTGAAATTTTTGTTTTTAAAATAAAAAATTTAAGTAATAAACTCAATTATCACATTGTGAAATGAAAATGAGAAAAGGAAGAAAAACTATAATATAACTCGATATAACTTTGTGCATTGCTTTTAGTTTTTAATTAGTGGTATGCATATATTTGTTGAATTAATTTTTTAAAAATTTTTATTAGTGAAACACCATGAGTTACAGTTGGAGACTTACAATTTTTTGTGCTTGGGTTTCAGTTATACAATGATCAATTAATTAATCAATGAATTAATTTTTAACTTGAGCATATAATATAGTTGACAGTGCATTATATTTAAAATTATTTTTGTATAATTTTGATTATATTATGGCATATTTATTATTCATTTCTGCCATTTTCACAATTTTCTTGATGATGTTGATGCCATTTTCAGTCATTCCTCAACTACATTTTAAGTGAGGCCACTTTCAGTTTTTGTTTTATTTTATTCTTTTGTTTTTTGGGCAACACCTGGTTTTGCTTAAGGGACTATGTATGCAAGCAAGGCAAATATCAGCTGTCTCTGGTCCCTGCTTTCAGTTTTCAGTTTGGGGGCCATACCTGGTGGTGCTCAGGGCTTAATCCTGGCTCTTTGCTCAGGAATCACTCCTGATGGGACTCAGGAGACCATATAGGGTGCCAGGGATTCAATTTTAATTCTCCTCATCTTTCCCTTTGTTGCAATTTTAGGGGGCTGTGGTGAGCAAGGTCATAACACATATCTGACTGTGGATCTTACACATTTAGTCATGGGGCTCACGCACGTGGCTGTTGTGTGCAGCGGGTCACTCTCCTTTAGTTAGAGTGGTGTGCGCATGAGCTTATCAGTGATCACACTCCATGTTTAATCAACTAAAAAGCACCTCCAGGCCCTTTCACACATTCTGTCAGTGCTTGACCAGGGTCACTGAAGTATTGACACTTGTGCTTGCCAGAGGTCATAATTCCTGGCCATGATGATGACACAGTTTTATTTTTTATTTGTTTTTACTTATTTTTTAAAAAGGGATTGTTATTTTATTTTATTTTATTTTATTTGCATTTTGGTTCACACCCAGCAATGAACAGGGGTTACTCCTGGCTCTGCACTCAGGAATTACTCCGGTGCTTGGGGGACCATACGGGATGCTGGGAATAGAACCTGGACAGGCTGCATGCAAGGCAAACGCCCTCCCTGCTGTGCTATCACTCCAGCCCCATGGCACAGTTTTAAGTGTTGCATATTTGCCAGCGGTTGCTGGCCTTTGAATTGTGGTGCTCACAAACACCTGGTGGTCAGGTGGCCAGAAGTTCCCTGTGGGCTAGAGACCAGGAACAGTAGCTGCCAGACCCAAACTGTGTGACAGTTCTCAGGGCACTGCTGGCGTCAGGATTTGGTCTCAGCCATTTGCTTGTGGAACAGCCATCTGCAGCCATTGAGCCGTTTCCCTGTCCCCTTTAGTTTTTACTGTTATAAATGTTGCTCTGCTGAAATGGTCTACATTGGTGTTGATTCTGGTAAATCTTGGGTAGTTATTTTTTCAGGTGGGTAACTACCTGAAAATTAGAAACTAGAAAACTGGAAACTGAATAAATGTTCTAAATTGACTATAACCCTTAATTTTAATTTGTGATTATCATATATTTTTCTCCCTGATAGTTAAATCCTTCAGTTTATTGTTTATTGAGTTTATTGACAAAAGAACTCTCTTTTGGATTTCTACAGGAATCTGCTTCTTTATGATTTTGTGATTATTGCTTCCTGGAGAATCGTATCAGCAATGCTGATGATTCAGAGTGAAGTCTTAAAAATATAAGAAGCTAATAAAAGTTCAGAGCAGAAACAAAATCTTTTGCGTAAAATTGTTACCTTTTGTAATGTTTTAAAGGTCATTTTTAATAATTGTAAAATATTTGTTTTGTTTTTTCTTCTTGTCTATGAATATCATTATTATTAGATGATTCATATTTATTTTTCTGTCAATTGCCCAAGTAGTCATCAGTTTTGCTATGCTAGTAGTTATGTAAGAGCTACTTATATTTTGCGTTTGTAGCTTTATGGAGAAGACACTGGTGATTTTTTTGACACATTTGCTGCGGCTTTTATACCTGCTGGAGAAACAAATAGGACAGTGTACATAGCTGTATGCGATGATGACTTTCCAGAGCCTGATGAGACTTTTACGTTTTACTTAACAGTGCAGGTAGGTTCTCTGTTCTGTTTTAATCGTGACCTCAGAAGTCTTGCACACGTCATGATCTAGTTTTCTTTTCTTCCTGTTTTTTTTTTTAATTTTTATAATTTTTAAACCTTTTCTATTGATTGAAGTTCTGTGTTCCAGTACTGTTGATGATGGTTTCCCATACACATAATTCCAATGCCACACCCATTGCCAGCGTCTCCATCTCCCTACCCCCAGGACCCTTTCAACTGCCTCAGTCCCCACTACTTTTTTTTTTTTGGAGACAAGCCAATTTAACTGACTGGTGGTGGTTTTCACACAAGCCACAAATAACCTCATTGGCAATTCCATGGTCTGATTATTCCTCTTGCTAACTTGTTTAGAAGACCGTGCTGTCAATTTTGGATCCAGTCAGCTCCTCTAAATCATTTGTTAGTTTCCTTGACTGCTGTCTACCTGATGGACTCTGTTTGACTTGCTGTAACAGACTACCATAAACTGGTTGACTTAAGTAGCAGGATCTTATTTCCCAGAGCTCATTTACGAATCCCGTGTGAGATGCTCAAGAAAAGTTTGTCTCCCTTTTGCTCCTTTTCTCTTTTATGCCTCTCCACGCCACCAGATGCACCAAAAAGTGACTCATTTTTAGTTCAAAGAAGAAGGACATAATTAAAAAATCAGTGTGGCAGTGTTACATTCCTGTGCTCTAAATTCAGTGTACCTCTTGGAAGGAATAACCTAAAATTTGATTATTATTGGCTTGTTCTGCTAGGTTAAGTCAGTGGTTCTACTCATTTGACAGGTCTAAGTTTTCTGAAATGCACTGAAAATAATTTTTTTTGGTTAGAACAGTTATATTAGTATGATTAAAATTTTTGTGAAAATAATACTCAAAATGTTAGATTTTGCTTTAGCAAATTGATTCTGTCATATTCCTTTATGCTGTTATTGAATAGCAATAGAAGACTGCAGAAAATCCTCCTCATTTTTATAATAAATTTGAAACTTTGCCTTTCATTTGACACTATGATTTATAGAGTTCTTAAGTGTCAGCGCCTTTAATGTAAGAAAAAAAACCTCATTTGCATAGAAGTTCATACCCTGTCATATTAGTAATATCAGCAGAGTAGTTAAAGTATAATTAGCCAATGATTACTTATAATTATAACAATTTATATTATTTATAGTGATTAATGGGTTGAAAAACTTTTTTTGATGGATTCTTTTTGAGACCTATTTACCATGCTGACTTAATTTCAGCATCTTAATCTAAGTGAAAAAGCAGACTTGTATTTTTTTCAAATTCTGAGTGGTTACCTTGAATCAGATATTCAGTTAAAATGATTATTTAAAAAATGTGTTCATTTATTTTTGGGCTCTTATTTTAGAAACCTTCTGCAAATGTGAAACTTGGATGGCCAAGGACGATTACGGTGACAGTATTATCAAATGACAATGCATTTGGAATTATTTCCTTTAATATGGTATGGCTTCGATTTAATTAGTCTTGTTGTTGCTGCATAATAGCTTATCAAATTAAAAAGATTGTTTTTATGATGTGACCTAATATCCTGTTTTGTGATATTTAAATAAATTTTGCTTCATTGTTGTCTATATTGCACATTCTGTAGTCTATACCTACAGAATATAGTCTGTTCTAGGTGTGATTTCTCTGAGGAGGCCTGTATGATCATGGTCATCTCTTGTTCTTATCTCTTTCTGCTGCTCCTCTATCTCATTTGTTAGTTCCTTTGACTGCTGTCTAACCCGATGGACTCTGTTTGACTTGCTCTAACGGACTACCATAAACTGGTTGTCTTAAGCAGCAGAATCTTATTTCCCATAGTTCTGGAGACCAGGACACTGATAAGTCATTTCCTTTGAGTTCTTCATTCTGTTCTTTACTGTGCCCATACATGGTGAATGGGGCTGAGGACTCTGGAATCTCTTTAACTAGGTTATAATTTCCATTTATGATGATTTTGCACCATATGATCTCTTTTCTCCCCCAAATTCTAACTCCTGATACCATCACCTTAAAATTTAGAATTTAAACGTATGTATTGGAGCATGGGGGACACAAACTTAACTTGGTTTATGCAGATGTTTTTTTTAAAATTTTTTTCATTTATATATTTTATTTTATTTCATATTTTATTTCCATTGTCACTGTCACTGTCTTCCCGTTGTTCATCGATGTGCTCGAGTGGGCCCAGTAGTGTCTCCATTGAGACAATTGTTACTGTGTTTGGCATATCGAATACGTCACGGGGAGCTTGCCAGGCTTTGCCGTGTGGGCGAGATATTCTAGGTAGCTTGCCCAGCTCTCCGAGAGGGGCAAACACCCTACCTGCTGTGCTATCACTCCAGCTCCATTTTGTGCAGATGTTTGACATAACTCCTTTCTTTGATTTTTCTGATTGCAACCTCAAGAAAGTCTGCTTCTGCTGAAGGTTGAGAGTGAGTTGTAAGTGAGAAAAGAAAGTTGAAAAAGAATACAATAACATTAAAATCTAATCACAGATATTATAGGTTAAGAGATTCTGAAGTTAACCCTTCCCCTTAGATTTATTTATTTATTTATTTTTTTATTAGTGAAGCACCATGAGGTACAGTTGTAGATTTACAAATCCTTGTGCCTGAGTTTCGGTCATACAATGATCAAATACCCATCCCTCCACCAGTGCCCGTTTCCCCCCACCCCCCCTCCCACCCAGATTTCTTTCTTTTTTAAAAAAAATATAACTATTTATTTTTCTAGGCAAGGAAATTGTTGAATCAGTGGAATATACTTCACAAGCACAAATGACAACATCTAATAGCTATAATCTCAAAGTTATTTTAGAGGAGAGTGTGGAGTATAGTATTAAAAATGAACTTTGAATATACTTGATTAGGGGAAGGCTTATGTAAATATGCTTGAACATACTATTAAAATATATACATATTTTTGAGCAAAAAAGAGAATGTACATTTATTTTAACTGAGCATGGAATATTCACTAAAACGTACACCATAACTGTTATAAAGCACATCTTGACTATCACTGTCACCCCGTTGTTCTTCAATTCGCTCGAGCGGGCCCAGTAATGTCTCCATTCATCCCTGTCATGTGCAGGTGTAACCCGATGGCATATTGGGGACTCCTTCAGGGACAGGGGAATGAGGACCATTCACTGTTACTGTTTTTGACATATTGAGTATGCCACGGGTAGCTTGTCAGGCTCTGCCTTGTGGATGGGATGTTAAGCACATCTTAACAAATAAAATATGTATATATTTTTAATTGCCTCCAAAAGAGACATTAAAATAGAAATTTAATGAGATGATTAAATTATGGGCTGGCCAAAAATTAAGTTTTACATAGAAAAGTTCACAGATTAATCAATCATCAAATGTAATATCTTTCCCTTAAAACATAGCAATTTTTGACTCTTTTTTTCACTTCCTGCTTGCTTTCTAGGAAGGATAAAGAGGCAATTATGATTAATGTTTTATGTTTTTAAGTCAGTTAAGTGACTATGAAAACACCCCAAGTTGTTACCTGAAGAAGATATACTTGGTACCCAATCAGGATTTTAGAAATGACTTAAACAAGTCAAATACAGAATTAAGGAAGTTTGAGTCAGTGTTTTAATATTCTTTATCTGGATCTAAAAACTCTTGAAGAAATTAGAGAGAACAGGTTCCCAAGGCACAGGTGAGATTTTCAGCAGAATGAACCTCAGACTCTTAGATTTCTTTTTTTTTTTTTGTAGGAGTACTGCTATTTATTCAGCCACTGATTAGCTGATTGAATTGTGCATGAACTCCACCTTGCTCTTTTTTTCCATTTTTTATAATTTTATTTATTGAATCACCATGAGAGCAGTTACAAAGCTTTTGGGTCTAAGTCTCAGTCATACAATGAAACACCCGTACCTTCACCAGTGCCCATTCTCCACCACCAAAAATCCCAGTATACCCCCATCCCACACCCTCCCCCTGCCTGTGGGGCAGATGATTTCCACATTACTCTCTCTCTACTTTGATCACATTCACTATTTCGACACCAGACCCACCATTATTTGAGATTTTACCCCAACACTCAGATCTGCTGAAAAGGCAACAATAGGCAATTTGTGTTCTATTGCTGGTTATGAATAACATATGATGTCGTGTGGCTGCAGTAGGGCCATGTGGTTTTGAAATTCCGAAATTTTAACACTTAAATTTGGAGGGATTTCTGCCAAAAGCCACTGGGTTTCGAGATCTGCTCCTGAGTCTCTGGGATCATGGCCATTGAGCAGCTTGATGAGGAGCCAGAGAGGCCGTTCGTGGGCGATGACTTGGGGTCTCGTTGGGGTGGGGAGGACAGGCCCGGCTCCCCCCCACATCCCGTGAGGCCCAACAAGTTTCGTCACTGCGGGCCCAAGCCTGACTGTCTAATGGCCTCTGGAGGATGACAGCCACCAAGTCGCCAAGAGGGAGCAGGCGGAGGGACAGCACCCATTCCCCCCTGGGGCGGCCTGGTGACAGTAACCTACTGCGGGGTCCAGACACATTTCTGCCAAAAGCCGCTGGGTTTCGAGATTTGTTTCTGAGTCTCTGGGATCAAGGCCGTTGAGCAGCTTGATGAGGAGCCAGAGAGGCCATTCGTGGGTGATGACTTGGGGTCTCGTTGGGGTGGGGAGGACAGGCCCGGCTCCACCTGTCCCCCCATCCCGTGAGGCCCAACAAGTTTCGTCACTGTGGGCCCAAGCCTGACTGTCCAATGGCTTCTGGAGGATGACAGCCACCAAGTCGCCAAGAGGGAGCAGGCGGAGGGACAACACCCTTTCCTCCCTGGGGTGGCCCGGCGACAGTAACGTACTGTGGAGTCCGGATGCATTTCTGCCAAAAGCCACTGGGTTTTGAGATTTGTTTCTGAGTCTCTGGGATCATGGCCGTTAAGCAGCTTGATCAGGAGCCAGAGAGGCCATTCGTGGGCGATGACTTGGGGTCTCGTTGGGGTGGGGAGGACAAGCCCGGCTCCACCCCCATCCCGTGAGGCCCTGTGTGTCTTGTCACTGGGGGCCCAAATGTGACTATCCAGTGGCCTCAGATGGATGGCGGCCCCTGGGCCACCAGGGGGAACAGGCCAAGGCACGAAACCTATTCCCACCTGGGTTGGCCCAGCACCGGTAGCCTACTGCAGAGACCAGATGCATTTCTACCTAAAGCCACTGGGTTCTGAGATTCGTTTCTGAGTCTCTGGGATCATGTCCATTAAGCAGTTCAATCAGGAACCAAAGAGGCCTTGCCTCCAATTATATAGCTGAGCCGGAGGTGTTTTGTGGGTGTGTTTCCCACATACCTACCTTTTGGCCGTTTACTTTCTTGGTAAACTTTGCCCCAAGTTTTTGGGGTCTGGCCAAAGGCACAGCAGCAATTTTGGGGTATCTGGAAGTCTGAAGGCGCCATGAGGCTGCTGATGCACTCGCCTCACAGGTACAGATTGACCTGCTGGAGGCACCATACCCCCATTAGATTTCTTAAATGAATATTTTTCTAGGTTAAGACATCACTCTCACACCTGGCAGTGTTCAGGGATTATTCCTGACTCTGCACTGAGGAATCATTCTTAGTGGTGGTCGAGGGACCATATGGTATGCTGGAATTTAATCTGGGTTGGTTGTGTGCAAGGCAAATGCCCTACCTGCTGTACTATCTCTACAGCCCCTTTCTTTCTTCCTGTGTCTCTGACCAGTCCGATGTTCAGAGGGTTTTATTGTTAGAAAAAAATCTTCCCTTGAGATAAATTGTTTCTAGTACATACAATACAATGCAATATTCTACCACTGAAACTGAACACGAAATTTTAGACGATAATAAACTTCCTGATAGTCTTTTTGAATCATGTCACTAATTATATTTATTAACCTCTGATGTGATACTCTCCAGCTTTTAATTTATTTTCCAATTTAGATTCTATTATAGTTGGTTATATTGTATATCACTTTATTAGTACCATAATTTATCTTTGAAAAGGTTGGCTATAGATAAATATGTCCTTTATAGCTGTAGTATCTTATTAAAAAGGGTGTATGGGTAATGTCAACATAGTAGACATTTTTTAACCTCCATTATGTTGCCATTTACCAAAATTAATGAATCAATCATTTCTATATGAATGGTTGGAAATTATTAGTTAATTCCAAAGCAGACTCCCTTAATTGCTTAATTTTTCTTTGCCTTTCCTCTTTATACAGTCCCAATTTATCACTGCAAATTAATTCTAGTTTAAAGATTTCATGCTTTTTAACCTTTTTTCTATACCTCCCCTTTCTTTTCTCCTTTCTCTTTAACATGTCACTCTAACTTGTAGGAATGAACCCTGGTCTCTGCCATAAATTCCAAATCCCTGACCAGTAAAATCTCAACACTGCCCGAAGGCTTCTAACTAGCCACCTTTACCACAGGCTTCCAGTTAAACTAAGGGTCAGATGAATTTCCATTAGCTTCTAAATAGGTTGACATTGATTCCTGGCCTACTTTATGACATTAATAGTAAGATAATATTGATGATGATGATACATTGCTGGCAACATTTACAAACTTTCACTATGTATCTAGGGTAAAGGTACTAGGATATCTAGGTATTAGGTAACTAGGTACTAGGATAAAAATGATGTGAATTTTCTTCTTGACTCTTTATCACGACCTTTGGCTCAGATACTTCTCTGCCCCTTTGTGGGTGGAGATGTTGAGATTCAGTGTCACCTGGAGAAATGTGTATTGCTGCCCTAACTAACTCATGTGCATCTAGCTGCTTTCTCATCTTCCTCTTTCATTTCAACCTTAAGTTGCCAAGCCAGCCTGCTTAAACATTGGAAATTTCTAGCTCTTGCCTCATCGAATGACCTGAAAACCAGTCTTTAGCAATTGTATGTTTCTCAGAGTTGAACTGATAGATGAGGAGGAAATAGTGGCCGTGAGCAAGGCTGAATGGCAGTCCCAATAGGGGTGGGACAACTCATTTTTATGGCTTCCTGAACCCTTGTGAGTTTTGGAGTTTGACTAGATAATCTATAAGCTTCTTTGTCAGAACATCTAATTAATGGTAGAATCGGGACAACGCCCTATACATCCTCTGCCCGACTAGTTTCATGTTCTTTTTAACCATGATTTTTAACTTGTTAAATATTAGTTAATGAGTGCTAAGAAATAACGCATTTGCAAGGGTACAATGTGGATTCATTTCCTTGTGGACATCTAGCATTTTTTTAAAATTTTTTTTTATTTATTATTTATTTCTTTTTTTACAGTTGTAGATTTACAATTTTTTTGTGCTTGGGTTTCAATTATACAATGATCAGATACCCATCCCTCCACCAGTGCCCGTTTTTCACCACCATGGATAATATCCCTCCCACCCCCATCCCCCCATCCCCCCCTGCCTCTGTGGTAGGGCAGTCCCCTGTGTTCTCTCTCTCGACATCTAGCATTTTTAAGGTAACAGTTGGCCTCACTTCTACCTCACTGATTGGTACTCCCTTATTGCTCTTGCTCTTCCCAATAGCCTTCATCAGTCTCTGCAAATGAGCCTAGGGACAGAAATGAGTCTGTGCCTCTTGCTTTCATCAGGGAAAAAGGAACGTATGGAATGGTGACTGTGACTTTTGAGGTAAGTTTCATTGAAATATTTTGTTGTTGTTGTTTGTTTTGGTCACACCTGGCAGTGTTCAGGACTTACTCCTGTGCTCAGGGATTACTCCGGCAGAACTCGGGAGACTGTATGTAATCGTGGGAAATGAACTTGGGTGTGCAGTGCTACTTGGGCCCAGCGGTGTCAGGGCTCACCATGATGAAGTTGGTGGATCTCAGGGGCCTCCAGCACCATATTGCCTATGCTCAGGAGGCCAGGTCGTGCCATGGACCCTAGATTATCTGCCCGGCTCAATACATTTCTGGTGGGTTTTTTTTTTTAGCTGACATTGCAGTAATGCTGTTTCACGTTGGAAACATTTGTGTTTACTGATGATGCTGTGGATTTCAATGCAGGTAGTGAGTGGTCCAAATCCGCCTGAAGAAGATTTGAGTCCAGTTAGAGGAAATATCACCTTTCCCCCTGGCAAGGCAACAGTAGTTTATAACCTGACAGTACTTGATGATGAGGTAAGGTAACATGAAGTGCTTGAATGGAACAAGGACTCTGCCTGAGAGCATTATGTCAAGTACTGAAATGTTTTCAGTGTTTGAAATTGTTCAGAAACAGTCTAAGGTAAAGCTAGTCTGTTATGACCAGTCATACTTTCATTCTAAATAGCTCTTTAAACATATCCAGGCTGTATTTGGAATTATGCTTGCTAAGATTTCTTATTTAATTTACATTAAATTATCTAAAATCTGATTATCTCGAGTATAATTGGAAATACTGCAATTTAAAAAAAATCTAACATTTTGTAAACATCAGAAATGATTTTTATCAGTTACTTCAGTTTTGAACAGATAAAGAGCTTATTTGGACTAAAGTTTTTACTATAAAATCAAAGAAAATTCTGCAGATTGGTTTAGATATTTTAAATATTCACATTTACAGGAAGACTTTTATGTATATTGCACATGAATGCTTTGGAGGATTGAGATTTATGGCAGAGCTAGGTTTATTGTTAAGGAAAAAATGAATTTGAGGACTGGAGCAATAGTGTAGGGTAGGGCACTTACCTTGCACGTGACTGTCCTGAGTCTTATCCCCACCACCACATATGGTCCCTCAAACCCTGGCAGTAGTGACTCCAGAGCTCAGAGCCAGAAGTAAGCCCATGCAAACCGGGTGTATCCCTTGCTGCAAAAAAATATTTGAACAGTAATGTGCAAGAATGCTCTCAGTAGCTAAATAAAAGAAACTGTGACTTAATTAAATAACAGGATGGCTAATAAAACAAAAAAGGAGAGTCTGACTGAGAATTTGGAAACTTCTCCTCTAGCTTATCATGAGTCATAATCATAAACATAACCAAACCCAAGGATAAAAAACAAATTAGAAGATAGGGTTTTTTTCTTGAAAAATTACACTTAGGTAGCATAACTCTCATTCAGAGATTTGGTGAGTGAAAAAGTAATTTTTTGTTTTCCAATTCTAGAACATTGTGATGGTTATAATTTGAGGATAATGATTAACTATATGTTTTAATTTTTAACTTGAGGATCATCTTTGAAGAATCTAATATACAGCAAGGTGATAAGTGTAGTTAATAATACAGTCTTGTATACTTGTCAGTTGCTGACCATGTATTCTTTTTTTAAGTGTTTTTATTATAGAGGAATTAATTATGAGGGGTGATGAATGTATTAATTATTTTGGTTACCTTTCCAAATTGCATTTGTGTACCAATAAATTTGTGTATAAAATCATGGTGTTGTGATAACATTTACATATACTTTGCAATTATTTTTCTTGGTTTTGGGGCTGTACCTGGTGATGCTCAACGCTCACTCCTGGCTCTGTGTTCAGGGATCACTCCTGGTGGTACTCAAGGAATGTGTGGTGCCGGGAATCGAATCCAAATTGCACTCATCCAAGGCAAATGCCCGCACTGCTGTACCATCTCCGACCACTATATTACAATTTTATCTTTAACTATTACACAATAAAGTTGAAGGAAAGTCACCAGTTTAAATCTAACTTTTTTTCTTACATATTTGTATCTGTATTTTAATATTCTGAAAGTAAAATATTATCAAACTTTTAAATCATTTTTCATCCAATATTGGACAATATGGCTCTTATCATAATCTTTTTTACATTTTATTTTTATTATTATTTTTTAATTAGTGAATCACCGTGAGGTAGAATTACATAGTTACAAACTTTCATGCTTGCATTTCAGTCATACAATGATCGAATACCCGTCCCTCCACCATTCTCCACCACCAATGATCCCAGTATCCCTCCCAACCCCTCTCCCCAACCCCCCTCTCCCGCATCTGTGGCAGGCATTCCCTTTTGTTCTTTCTTTCCTTTTGGGTGTTGTAGTTTGCAATAGAGGCATTGAGTGGCCCTTGTGTGCAATCTATAATCTGTATTCAGCACGCATCTCCCAATCTGAGCGGTCCTCCAAACACCATTTACTTGGTGTTTTCTTCTCTATCTGAGCTACCTTTATCCCCAGCATTTGAGGCCAGCTTCCAAACTGTGGAGTAAAACTCCTGGTCCTTATCTCTACTATTGTTGGGTGTTAGTCTCCCATTCTGTTATTTTATATTCCACAGATGAGTGCAGTCTTTCTATGTCTATCCCTTTCTTTCTGACTCATTTCACTTAACATGATATTTTCCATGTTGATCCATTTATATGCAAATTTCATGACTTCATATTTTCTACAGCTGCATAGTATACCATTGTGTAGATGTGCCAGAGTTTCTTTAACCAGTCCTCTGTTCTTGGGCACTCGAGTTTTTTCCAGAATATCTAACTTTTTTTGAGATTAGTGTTTTGTTAATGATGGAGGCAAAGAGTGTTTTAGACTTTTATTTAGAAATTAGAATATTACAAGTGTAGAAAAATTGAAGCAGTGCAGTGAAGATTAATAGTGGGAGTACTGAGCAATGATAAAAGAAAAAATCTAACACTCTTTGTAGAGGAACTCTGAGGAAGAGCCCAGTGATGTAGCATGCCTGCTGTGTGCTGTGTAGCAATGCTCAGGAAACTATCCTGGCACCAGTATTGTCTGGACTGGCAGAGATGCCTGGGAAACCTGGCTTCACGCATGGCAGATCTGACTGTGAGCAGTAACATCAGACATGTGGACAGCCCCTGAGTAGTGCATGTGTTTATCTTTGTGGGTCTGAGAACCACAAGGGGCACTTAGGGGATACTCCCAGCTTTATGCTTGGGGATCTCTGACCTCAGTGCTTGGGAGACCATGTGGTACTGGGCAGTGAGCTGGGTTAGGCCATTTGCAAGGCAAGTGCCTTAACCCTGTACTCTGTCTAGCCCCAATACAGTTAGCTGCAAAGAAAACTTTTAGAGAGAATAACACTGTCCTCCTGTTCATCAATTTGCTGGAATGGCCCCAGTAACATCTCCATTTTGAGACTTGTTACTGTGTTTGGCATATTGAATATGTCACGGGTAGCTTGCCAGGCTTTGCCGTGCAGGCGAGATACTCTTGGTAGCTTGCTGGGCTCTCCGAGAGGGGTGGAAGATTCGAACCTGGCTCGGCCGGGCTGGCTGTGTGCAAGGCAAACGCCCGACTGCTGTGCTATTGCTCCAGCCCTAGAGAGAATAATTCACCTGATTGAAAATTGTATGTGGTGTTTACTGTACTTACCCCGATTCTTAGATATTTGACCTTGGGTGTTGCTTCTGTCTTCAGTCTGAGAAAAACTAATAAGAATTTTTGTTCATTTTAACTGTCAAATATTCAGCATTTTACAAAGATTATGTTGAAAGGCCATTTACTTCTACTTCATTATCTAGCCAAACATTGCTTTATAAACTGTCCCTTCCCCATGTAAAATATATTATATCCCTTTAAATAAACGGACAGTAAAAATCTATTTTTTCTTCTTTTAGGTAAAAATTAAAAAGAAAGGAAAAATGGGCCATACCTGTAGTGCTTAGCAGCTGCTCTCTGCCTGGGGCTGGGGATTGCTCCAGGCTAAGCCTGGGAGTCATAAGGTGCCAGGTATTAAAAGTGGGCCTCCTGCATGCAGACCATTGACCTAAGGTCTTTGTGCTGTCTTTTCAGCCCCCAGTTTAGATTTTTTTTAAGCATTCCTTGTAACTGTATTGGGACACACTGACTTTTTATACTTTGGTTTCTTGGCAGGTATTTTTACTACTGATGTTTGGCCATTTATTTTTTGTATTTCTTTGACAGGTATCAGAAAATGATGAAATATTTTTGATCCAACTGATAATTGTAGAAGGAGGAGCTGAAATCAACACCACCAGAAACTCAGTTGAGATTATCATTAAGAAAAATGATAGTCCTGTAAGATTTATTCAGAATGCTTATTTGATACCTGAGGAGGACCAGATCCTCATCATTTCAGTCCTTCGTGGAAAAGATGACATGGACAATATGATTGGATCAGATGAAGACGAAGTGTGTATCGATTATGCTGTTATAACTGGGAATTCAACAGCACATTCCCAGCAGGATGTGGACTTCATCGATCTTCAGTCCAATACAACTATTACTTTTCCCCCTTTTGTTCATGAATTCCACCTGAAATTTCAAATAGTCGATGATGCCATACCAGAGATTGCGGAAGCATTTCACGTTGTGTTACTAAAAGAAATGTTACGTGGAGATGCTGTGCTTTCAGAACCTTCTGTCGTGCAGGTCACCATTAAACCCAATGACAAACCTTACGGAGTGCTCTCATTCAACAGTATACTGTTCGAGAAAGCAGTTGTCATTGATGAAGATACAACCACGAGGTGATGTTTATTATTTTTATTTTATTTATTTAGAGGGACGCTTTTGGGCCAAATCTGGCAATGCTTAGGGGCTGCTCATGGTTCTGTGCTCAGAGGTCATTCCTGGTGGTACTTTGGAGGGATCCTATGTGGTGCTGGGAATCAAAGTAGGGTCATTTGCTTGCCCTGGAAATCCCTTAACCCTGATACTGTCCTTAGTCCCATCCTGTATTATTTGAAACATGTTGCTACAGTTATTTTAATGTGTCACCCAAGACTTAATGCTGATGGTGTGTGAGCCAATGTTAAACTGTTAAGAGTGTATGGAATTTTCTTTGACTTTCTTTGACTTTTCTTATTCCGAGTAATTTAAATGTACGGGTGAATTTGTATTATAATAGTTTCCTAGGCCACAGTTCAATATCAACTCTATATTAAAAACATTCATTCTTGATGAACTAGATTTTGCTTTTCCAGTATCTTGTGACCAACTTGAGTTTGGAAAGCCTACCGTAGGGAAATTAGAGTTATCATGTAATCATCCTCTTCTATTATAATTTTCCAGATTTGAAGAAATCACAGTGGTTAGAAATGGTGGCACCCATGGGAATGTTTCTGTGAACTGGGTATTGACACGGAATAGCAGTGATGCCTCACCCGTGACAGCAGATATCACACCAAGTTCTGGAGTTCTCCATTTTGCTCAGGGGCAGATGTTGGCATCCATTCCCCTGACCGTCGTTGCTGATGATTTTCCAGAGGAGGCAGAAGCTTATCTACTTCAGATTCTGCCTCATACGATACTGGGAGGAGCAGAAGTGAGCGAACCAGCTGAGGTAAACCACTAGTGTGGATATTTTTGTTTTGTAGGAGGATCTAGAATTTTATAGAGGGACCACAGGCAGTGATGCTCAGAGCTTCACCCGTATTACTCCTGGCCCTGCACTCAGGACTAACTCCTGACAGTACTCTGGGAACCAGGTGGGGTGCTGGGGATCGTACTTGGGTTGGCCATGTCCAAGGCAAACGCCGTACCCACTGTACTATCACTCCAGCCCAGGGACTAGAATTTGATCACGCAAATCAAATTTATTGAACTCGGTATCACAGGAAGAAGACTGGTTTTTAGAATGGATGGCTCCTCCCCTATCTCAAAGTTGACCTTTTTGTAAAAGAAGTTTAGTTTTCTAAAATTTTCACGGTCCACGGTCACGGTCCTCCCGTTGTTCATCGATTTGCTCGGGCGGGCCCAGTAACGTCTCCATCATGAGACTTGTTGTTACTGTGTTTTGGCATATCGAACAGGTCACGGGTAGCTTGCCAGGCTCTGCCATGCGGGCGAGATACTCTCCGTAGCTTGCCGGGCTCTCCGAGAGGGGCGGAAGAATCGAACTCGGGTCGACCATGTTGGCTGCTTGTAAGGCAAATGCCCTACCGCTGTGCTTTTTCACAAGCTAAATACTAGGGAAGTTTTAAAAATTGGCTTTTCAAAAAAAGTTTTGTTTTTTGTTTGTTTGGAGGCTACAAGCAAACCTGGGTGGTGCTTGGGAACTCTTCTCTTATAGGAGCTTGGATGTCACTTGTCACTGTGCTCAGACAGGATCAAACCTGGGCCTCTTGCATGGAGTCTGGGCTCAGCCTATTGCTGTCTATCTGGTCCTAATATCTGTTTTTGGTCCACCTTTTACTCTGCCCCATAAATGAAGTAAACACTTTTGTCAAAATACACAAATATAAAACAAGAGCTCAAGGGACCATATGGGATGCTGGGAATTGAACCTGGGTCGGCCACGTGCAAGGCAAATGCCCTACCTGCTGTGCTATCTCTCGAGTGATAGCACAGCGGTAGGGCGTTTGCCTTGCACGCAGCCAACATGGCTGACCCGAGTTCGATTCCTCCGCCCCTCTCGGAGAGCCCGGCAAGCTGCCGAGAGTATTCGATATGCCAGACACAGTAACAACAAAGTCTCCAATGGAGACGTTACTGGGCCCGCTCGAGCAAATCGAGCAAAACAAGAGCATAGCTTAGGAAAACAACACTTAAGTACCCTTAGTGTGAGAATTCTGCACTTTCATCTGTTTATTTCTTCATCTACAGCTTTTATTTTACATTCAAGATAGTGACGATGTTTATGGCCTCATAACATTTTTTCCAATGGAAAACCAGAAGATCGAAAGCAGCCCAAATGAAAGATATTTATCCTTGAGTTTTATAAGACTGGGAGGAATGAAAGGAGATGTGAAGATGTTTTATTCTGCACTTTATATTCCTGCTGGAGCTGTGGATCCTTTACGAGCGAGAGATTCCATCTTAATTGTATCCAGGAGAAACAGCCTCATTTTTCCAGAACAAAAATCTCAAGTCACTGCGAAATTACCAATAAGAAATGATGCATTCCTTCAGAATGGGGCCCACTTTCTAGTACAGGTGCTTTAATTACTCAGTCGCTCTCAACGTTGGGTAAACTGTATATTACATATATTTGTGAAAGACTAACTATTATTTTTGTCCTCATTTGTAGTTTGCGTTCTATTAGTTGCTACAGGTTATTATACATTCCAATTCTCCTAAGTCTCAGAGGGATGAATAAAACAAAGGTTCTACTAAAGCCAATATTTTGAGCAGGTGATAATAAAAGCATGTCAGACATGAAATGCATCTCAGAGTAGAATGAATGAGTTGATTAGTAGCTCAGCTGTTAATGAATGATACGAGGGCCGGGAGAAAGAGGGTATTTTTTTTATTGGTTTGGGAGAATGTGACATGAGAATGGATTTATAGGATAAATATGTTTTTTATGATGGGGACTGCAGGGAAGGCATTTCAGAATAATGTGAGAAAAATTATGTTAAGTGCTTTGAAATAATATACTGAAAAATACTTTTGATAATTAAATGTAGATAGAATCTCTGAATTTTCATCTATTTTAGTAAGAGAAAATAAAGCCCCGTGATATTTTCCCCCCCCTTAAACTTGGGCTAACTTATGTTTACCCAAAACAGTTTTCGTTGTCCAAGTTTAAAATGTCTGCACTTCTGACTTTTGTTTTGTTATCCATGCTTTTCATATTGATTGAGTCTAAAAATCAGACAGCAATACATGGTATTTTTCAAATTCTTGTTCTAGAAAAATTTAATACAGAATCATATACCTATGAATAGTAGAAAGAAAAGAGTGTGTAGTCATGTCATCTGGTTTGCTAACTGAAATATCTGTCAATTGAAATCTTATTTCTATTAATTCTTTGAATTATGCAACATTTACAAGTCTTCCGTTTTTGTCTAAAACTTCGTTTTGCCATTTATTATTCTTTTATTTGTAGTTCCTATTTAACTCATTTCTATACACCAGCATCAAAAAGTCAGAGTTTATGGGTTGGGTGTTGAGTTTAGCTCGGTACTTTCAAAGTTGCCGCTTCGGTTGATTTTTATCAAACATCTGAGTTTTCTTGATATTCTTGTCTTTTCCTTCTTGTACTATATTTTAGTATATCTTTCCTTAAATACACACCCCGAAAAGGACACATTCAAGATAAACTTTTTTGTGTCTTTGAGTAGCTGAAAGCAAAAAATTTTTGCTTTGTGGTTGGGCTTGGTAGATATTTCTAGATTTAAAAATACTTCTTTGGAATGCATTGTTTTTGATATTCCAGAGTACCTGATGAGGAGAAAAAAACCTTTGCAAGTAACTTGCTATTTGTTTCTGAAAGCCTTTTATTTATTTGTTTTTAATTTTAATTTTGGGTGAGGGGATATATCAGAAGTGCTCCGGGGCTATCTTTTTCATTTCTTTCTGAAGGCCTATATCACTATTAACTTCCTGGTTCTGCTTTTGCTGTTTTTTTTTTTCTTTTTTGGTTTGTTTATTTATTTTAATTTTTCTGCAGTTATTCTTTTTTACTTTCTGTTTTAATTTACTCAGTGTTTCAGTAGTGACTGAGTAGGATATTATTTAATCTTCACACGTTTGAGGCTTCTGATTTTTTTTTTTGAACTTTGACTCTTAATTTTATAACATGGGGATTAGAAAAAAAATTCTTGCTGATTTTAGACTTTAGAAATTTGTCCTGATGGTTTTGTGTTACAACACATAGACTATTCAGACGTTCTGTGAGCAGAGAATAAAAATTTCTCTGCTTTGGAGTGAGATACTCCATAAATGTCTACTAAGTCTGTTTATTATAGTTTATTATTATAGTTCATCATGTAAGACTCTTATTTTTTCTTCTGTTAAGTTGATTTGTGCGTAGTCGTAAGTGGGGTATTAAAGTCACCTTCTATTATTGCATTACTGTCACTATCGCTCTTTCTATTTATAGTTGCTGTATTTGTCTTACTGTGCCTTTACTTTGTTCATTTTGTTCATATATAGTATAAGTATAAAATCCTCTTTTATTAATCGTTATGTAATGCCCCTCATCTCTTATTAGCCATTTTATCTGGAAATCTGTGCTACCTGATATTAGCATAACTGTGCTTGCCTTTTTAACATTACCTTTTACCTTTTGTTTTAACATTGTTTTTCAACCTTTAATTTTAACCTTATGGTTTTTTTAAAGTTAATATGTGTTTCCTATAAATCGCAAAAAGTTGAATTTTGGTTTTTGATTTAGTTTACCATCCTGTCCCTTTTAATTGAAAAATTCAGTTTGTCAGCTTTCAAGGAATTATTAAAATTTTGATTTTTATGATCAATTTTTAATTTTTAGGTGTTTCCTCAACTTGTTACTATTCTTTTAAAGGATTTTGTCCTTTTGTTTACTTTAACATACTTTTTTTAAAATTAAAAAATACTTTATTTATGTTTTATTGAAATCACCGTGAGATAGACCCTTGCATAGATGTCCTGCTTAGGTGTCAGTCATCCAGGGTTCCAGCAACAATCCCTCCATTGTGTCTGTTTCCCAGCACCCGTGTTCCCAGTTTCCCTCCTATCACCCCCACCCTCCCTAACCTGACTCTATGGCAAGCACTTTAACATAAATGTTTTTTATTTGTTTGGTTTTTGGATTACACCTGGCGGTGCTCAAGGATCACGTTTATGGTGTAGTGCTGGATTGAACTGGGGTGGCCACATGCCAGGGAAGCACCTTAACCATTGTGTCATCTCTCCAGCCCTGCTTTATTGTTTTTGTTTTGTTTCTAGTCCAGTTTCATATGTTTTTCTTCCATATATTTTCTTCTTTCTTTCTTTCTTTCTTTCTTTCTTTCTTTCTTTCTTTCTTTCTTTCTTTTTTTATAATTTAGGAGTACTACTATTTATTCAGCCATTCAGCCATTGATTAAGCTGATTGAGTTGGGGCATGTACTCCAGATATATTTTCTTTTGGGTTCTTTTGCAGTTCATAGTTAAAGTCTTTTGCTTGTGGTCTATTTGGCAGATTGAGAGTACATTCATTTCAGTGGCCCACAGTTCTGTTCTTCTCCATTTTTTCTCCATTTTGCATAATTCTGGTATCTTAGATTCTAGTTGAGATAGCTTTTTCATTTTGTAAAAGAGCCTTTAATGTTTCTGTGAGACTGGTTTGGAGGTGATGAGTTGCTTTAATTTGCATCTGTGAAACTCTGTTCTCTCTCTCTCTCTTTCTCTGTCTCTGTTGTCTCTGTGTTTGTGTGTGTGTGTGTGTGTGTGTGTGTGTGTGTGTGTGTGTGTGTGATCAAAAGCAGTGTTCAGTGACCCAGGGATGACTTCAGTGGTATTCAGCCCAGATAGTGGCTTAATGTTCAGCACCCTGGCTTGGTGATGCTGTGTGGAGAGCACCGAGGGCCCCAGCGCTATTGAGGATTGAACCTGAGACTTTACACTACGTGAAAAACATTTACTCTAGTCCTTGGAGCTGTTGCCTGGCCTTAATTTGTTAAGCTCTTTCTCCTTCCATCTACTGCAATGTTAAGCTGGAGGGACAGAGTATTTTTGTTGAAAATCCATTTCCTTCAGCACTTTGACTGCTCTATGCCCTTCTGTCATGATGGTTTCTGTAGGGAAAGTTCGTTGATGGTCTTATGGAAACTCCATTATCTGCAATTTATTTTCTTCCTAGATGCTTTTAGTAGTCTGTTGCTATTTTTAGGGTTTGTTTTTTGATGGTGGCTGGATATTGAGGCCATACCATGTGGTACTCAGGGCCTACTACTGGTAGTGATCTGGGATTGCCACTTGCAAGGTAAACACTTTTACCCCAGTACTGTCTTTTGGTCCCATTATCGTTAGGGTTTTTATGGTTGATAACAGTTTAAGTATAATGGGTCTTGCTTTAGCTGTATCTGATTGGATTTATTTACTGGGACTCGGAGCCTCTTGGACTTGATTGCATGGCTGTTCTTCAGCTTCTCCTTTCGCTTTCTATGACCCTATAATATGGATATTGCTTCTGTTTGTGTAGTCTCATAGGCCCCTCATACTGCTTTCACATTTTCAAACACTGTGTCTTTCTATTCCGTCTGGGTGTATTGCAATACCATACTTTCAACTCATTGGCTTTATTGACTGTTCATTTTGTTTCATACTCAGCTCCTCTATTGTATTAGTTAGCTAAAAAAATTGTGTTTTTAAGTTTGTTATTTCTATCAAAGTTTTAAAACACCACCGATCTCTCCTTGCTATAAATCTCATACTGTTTTTTCATTGTTTTCCCACTGTATTTGAACTTTTCCTAAGCTTTTTTTCCCCTGCAATCATTTGTGGAAATTTTTTGTTTCCTCATCTTGCTTTGTATTGACTATCTGTGTTGAATATAGACTAATAGCTGTCTTTCCTTGTTTTTCTCTGTAAGTCTACATATCTGATTTGTAGACTGCATGATGCAATTTCTCTAAAATCCTCACCGCTTTTTCTTGTGCAGACAATTCTCCAACCATCTGGCTGCTATTCAGGGACTGTATTTCACTTTGTTAATCAGTTAGGGAAAAAAAAAATGCTGTCTTTTCCTGTCCACCATCTTATGGGAGCCTATTACTAATCTTATGCAGGTCACAAGGAAACCAAATTAAAACAAGGGGAATCCAGCTGAGATTTTTACCTAGCAACTTTTGCCTTTTTTTGAAGAACTGGCCATCCCGTGTTTCTGTAATCGTTGCTGTGATGTGATATGAGTTTGAGAACTGATGCTGCAGAAATATTGATTTCAAGATTTAGAAAACTTTTTTGTTCTCGGTCCTCAAAACTAGTTTTTACTATGTCTAGAGATGCTCTGCTTCTGTGAAAATACTAGTCAGATTTATAGTAACTGTTGGTCTTTTGAATGTATCTCTATCAAAGTAGTTTCAGAGAATGTATAGTAAACAAAATCTTATTAGAACTGGATTATGTGTCAGACAGTATTCGGGCTCTTTTATGTAGCATTCAGTATGAACATGGCAATTAATTTTTGTGGACCCTTAAAAACTAAGTTAAAACTGTAGCATGTTTTACGAATTTTGATGATTGTA